GGCAACCCACTGCCACAGGGGCTGCAGCCTATGCCGTCGCCGGCGACTCATGGCAGCCCAGCTCCAGGTTGAGCTGTCGTTCAGCATCTTAGCTGGGGAGGGCAGTGTCACTGGCCCTCATATGTGGGATCCGAACCGGTGCCCTCTGGCATCCCAAGCGAGCTCTCAACCATTGCGCCACTCGGCCGGCCCTCAATGTGTATCTTTCAACAGTACCTTTTAGTATATAGAAATAACATACTGAAATGTATGTGTGTGGTTGAAGTGATGTGATGTCTGAGATTTGCTTCAAAATAATCCGCTGGGGGAAGAAGAGTAAAGTGAGTGAAATTATAGATAAAATTGTCTATGAGTTGATAAATTGTTTAAGTGATAGCTATGTGAGGTTTCATTATTCCTTTCTCTCTTCCTTTGTATATGTTTGAAATTTTCCATGATACAAGGTAGGAGCAAAATGTATGCCATTATAGTACAAATAGCTGTGAGGGAAATATCTGCTACCTCAAAGGGTTTTATGTCTAAGGTGAGCTATATACTCTGGAGAGAAGATTAGAGAAATTTGAATTTCAGTATAAAAATGTCTGATTTGATAATAATGGTCTATGGAACTATTGGGGGCTTAAATATGTATTTTGAGGCAATACAAAAGATACTTCAAGCCTTGATGCTTCTCATTTTGTTTTAATTGTGGTAAACTGCACACAACATAAAATTTACCACTTTAACCATTTTTCTGTGTACAGTTCAGTGGTATTAAGTACATTCATATTTTACAACGACCACCACCATCCATCTCCATAACCCTTTGCATCTTGCAACACTAAGACTCTATACTCATTAAATAATTAACTCCCCATTCTTCCCTCCCCTTAGCCCCTGGCAACTGCCATTCTACTTTCTGCCTTTATGATTTTGACTACTCTAGGTGTATTGTACAGTATTTGTCTTTTTTGTGACTGGCTTTTTTGTAATACTTAGCTAATGACCTCAAGGTTCATCCGTGTTGTAGCATATGTCAGAATTGCCTTTCTTTTTAAGGCTGAATACTTTTCCATTGTATGTATATATAGTAATCCCACCTTATCCGTTGTATAGTTTTAGTTACCCATGGTCAACTGTGGGCCGAAAATATTAAATGGAAAATTCTAAAAATAAACAATTCCTAAGTTTTAAGTTGCGTACTGTTCTGAGCAACATGATGAAATTTCACACTGTCCCGCCTAGAACGTGAATCATCCCTTTGTCCAGTGTATCCGCACTGTAGATTCCCTGTCCTTTTTAGTCACTTAGTCGCTTTCTTGGTTATGAAGTCGACTGTTGATATCAACTGTCAGTATCATAGTGTTTGTGTTCAATTAACCCTTTTTTGACTTAATAATGGCCCCAAAGCTCAAAGGTAGCGATGCTGGCAATCTGGATATACTAAAGAGAAGCCTTAAAGTACTTCCTTTAAGTGAAAAGGTATGTATAAATAGGAAGAAACATAGTATATATAGGGTTTGGTACTATCCACGGTTTCGCATCCATTAAGGGGGCTTTAGAATATATTCTCCTTGGATAAGGGGGGCTCCTATATCACATTTTGCTTATCCAGTCATCTTTTGACAGACAACATGGGTTGCTTTTATGTTTTAGCTATTATGAATAATGTTGCTATGAACATGGGAGTACAAATATCTCAAACCCTACTTTTTATTATTTTGGGTATATGCCAAGAAGTGGAATCGCTGGGTCATATGGTAACTCTATGTCTAAATTTTTTGAGGAATTACCATTCTGTTTTTTGCAGCAGCTGTACTATTTGACATTCCTACCAATGGTACACAGGGGTTCCAATTTTCCTGCATTCTCACCAATACTATTTATTTTCTGGGTTGTTTTTTTTTAATAGTCCTCATCTTAATGGGTGTGAAGTGGTGTCTCATTGTAGTTTTGATTTGCGTTTCTGTAATGATTACTGATGTGTGTATTGATCATTTGTTTAGCTTCTTTGGAGAAATGTCTACTGAAGTCCTGTATATGCTTCTCAATTTTTTTTTTCATATTATGGCGTAAATAGAAAGTGATAACATTTATCTGGATGCACTAGGGCTAAACATAGGACATGGCTTAAGCTCAGAGGAAAGCTAGCCAAGAGCGCCTACTGCCCCAGGGCACTCTTGGCTGTCCCAAAGGCTGAGGAGATCCATATTTTAGTAACCTGCAGCCTATTCACATCACAAAGTTGGGAATCTCTGCTCTAATAAAATGTAATATTCAGGTTAGGAGAAGTTGCTGGGAACCAAAAGCTTGGTAGATATGGAGAACTGTGATATTGAGTAGTGGGGCAAAGTTAATGGAGTGATGTAATAATGATCTTGAAAATAAGAAGGGAGATGATTCCAAGTTATGAAGGGGAAGGGTGACGTAGAAAAAATAGCCTTCAAAACATAGAAGACAAAGGAAAAGAATAAGGGTTTAGGTTAGGGAGGTTGTCTTTGATGGCAGACTAAGTATCTTAAGGGTAAGAAATTGAGTCATAAAGGTCAGCCATGAATATACATTAATAAGACCAGTAAAATTTAGTTATAGAGTAAAACCTCAGTTTGTTAAACTTTATGGAACAAATGGAGAAGACTGAGGCAGAGAATTATTTAATAGGCAAAAAAAAACACAAAAAACAAAAAAAACCCCTAGGGAAATCAGGTTTAGAAACAGCTACTTGTTTAAAAAGAAAAATGTTACCCTTTGAGCTGTTGGCTGTTGGCAGCGGAAAGAACTCCAGATTAAATAAACCAACAGGATTTGGAAAAGAAGTTTCTCTTAATTATTTTTTTAATGGATGAAATTCAGTTAATATTTATTACAGGCCCAAGATGACAATTGTACTGGAAGTAAGATGGAGAAAGGTATTTTACTTAATCAAAATGATGATGTAGCAATATAGAAAATTTTGAAAATTAGAAAAATGATTCTACCACCTAACATAATTGGTTCTTTTTTGTTTATGATTTTTCATTCATTATTCATGTATTTATGTTTTGTGACTAAAAGTAAAAAACACTTTCCTTGCTTCATAAATACCATTCATAAAGCTTCATACTATTTCATTGTGTTTATGAATCATAATTAAACATTTCCAATTTTCTTATCGTTGGATGTTTGTCTTTTTTTGTTAGTTTTATATATATGATGTGTATATATTTATACCATCATATATACATGTACACACATACATAGACTCATATCTGTATCTATTCATATCAAGTAGTTAATGATGTTGGCATCACAATATTTTTAGTCAGCTAAGTTTTTGTTTATTTTATTTACTTAAGATAAATACTCTTTACCTGGGTTATTCCCTTGCCTAAAACCTTTTTAACAATTTCCTATTTAAATTAGAATAAAGTTTCAAAATCCTTACCTACAGAATCCTACATTATGTCTTGTATCTTGATCCTTATTACTGCCACTCTTATTTGTACCCACAATGCCTCAGCCACACTGAAATTTTTTGGGGAAAACATTTGGCGATATTGATGAAGACATTTAAAAAAGTTAATTTCCTTTGGTCGTGTAATTAAGCTTTGCAGAGTCTGCATTAGGGAAGTAATCTTAACTATAAAAAAATAAATTATACTTTTAAATCTGGTTTCTAAAATTTGACTGTGATGTGCCTAGATGTGGTGTGTTTTTTTTGTTGTTGTTCTGTTTTGTTTTAAGATTTTTTTATTGGGGAATTGGGGAAGGGGAACAGACAAGTTGCTGTCCTTTTGTTCTTCAGTATAGTTGTGGAGGGTGTCGCTTCACTGGCCCATGTTGGTATTATCATTGCACTCTCCCGGGTGAGGCAGTTGGTCACTGGCCACTGGACAGCCACTTATCGTGGCTCACAGCAGCTCATGCCAGCTGCCAGCCGCTCACACTGGCTGCCAGCCACGCACTGTAGCCCATGGCAACCCACTGCAGCCCCGCTGCAGCCTACGCTGTCGCAGGTGACACACAGCAGCCCAGCTCCAGGTCGAGCTGTTGTTCACCATCTTAGCTGGAGAGGGCACAGCGTCACTGGTTTTCATGTGGGATCCGAACTGGCGGCCCTGCTGCTCAGAGCTGGCACTCCCAAGCAAACCCTTCACCAATGTGCCACTCGGCTGGCCCCTAGATGTGGTTTTCTTTGTATGTATTGTGCTTGGGGTTCACTGAACTTCTGAAGTTATGTCTTTCACCAAGTTTAAGAAAGTTTTTACTGATACATCTGCAATTTTCTTTCCTACCTCTTGTTTTGCTTTTTTTGGAACTTCA